ATGATCGGCTCGGTGGGGCATCCTACACAAATTTCCGTCAAGTAATGCTTCCAGTTTTGTTGGAGGATGCACGTGAGAACATGTTGTTTCAACGCCACGGTTTCTCTCTCGATTTTTCGGGTCCAGTTCTTGACAATAACTCTCTGAACAGATGGATTGGGCGTGGAGGTGCGATATCCTGGTCCTCATAGCCCCCAAGATTCTTGTTTGTGAGTATGCTACAAGGAAAATATTCGGGATTGTGACGATCCAACTGATTGCATTGAGAGGAGCGCTGCATATATTAGGAATCCTCCCAGAAAAATGCTTACCGCCACGGGCTCAATCCGACGTTACTCTGAGATGTGTGTTCATCTGCTGAGTAAGGTATAATCTGAAGTGATGATTGAGAAGTTTTACGAAGGACAGAATTAGCCGTCTCTCCTCCTTTATTTAATTGCAGATAAGGAGATGACCCCTCGTTGGTGTCTCCACCTTATCGTGGTGAGGGGTTTGAGTATGCCAAGGACCCTGAGAGCTATACCAGCGGTAGCATAGCTACTGGCAGGGCCTCCCTTGCTGGACAGGTCAAAGGGTAGGCATCAGACGAAGAGAGACACCAAAAACCAAAAACTGATGCCGGAAGCAGCGTCATCAGCAGCGACTTGAAGCACAGAACAAATGATGCTCGAGATGGTTCAAGTTCGTATAGCAACAGGCGTGACCAGAGTGGTTTGAACGGCTGTTGTACTGCGATGTGGAAAGCAACTGGAAAAACTACCACATTATCACTTTTCCTGGATAGTCTCTTTCCAAAAACAGAAGATCACATTAAGTGGAGGAACTGTTTTGGAAGAGACTGTGGACCTGTCATCTGACAGTTACTGATCAATCAATCAAGGAGATGAGTTGACATATGTCTAAAAGGAATTGTTTACATTTTGTAAAATCGACAGTTAAGAGTACTACAAAACTACATACAATGTAATTTAAATTGTAGACTTAGCCGTAAACAAGAACATGAAGGCAGTAAATATTCATGTCTAAAAGAACCTACCGCTTGACACTATCCTGAGCTAGCTGCATCCTTTCAACGTCCTTAAACCCTATTTCTTTACTAAGCATTTTATTGTAATTATTCTTTATACATTTAGGTCTTGCAGGTGTTTTCTATCCGTCAGATTTTCCAACAAAATTGTATGCATTTCTCATTTCTCTCGTACATGTAGCATGATCCACACATTTGATCATCCTCAGTTTGATAATCCTCATGATATTTGGCGAAGAGTAAACATTACGAAGACTTTCACCATCAGGTTTTACTGAATTGTTTCACACCATTTATTTACCCATTGATGGGCCTGTGTTGGTTTCAGGCCCCGTAAATCTCAACTCATTTCTCCTCCACATGCAGAGTTAAGCCCAAATGGACTGCAATTTGCAATGCAAAACTTTGGCAAACAACTATTCCATTAGATATATTAAATTGTAGAGCATTTGCATGGATTCCATCAGCTGTAGTGCCCTCCTATTCTGTGCCGTTTCGTCTACGAATACAAAACTGAGAGTTCAAAGCAGAAGTTCTCGGAAGAACGTATGGCAACAGCGTCAGTATTCCTCAACATATATAAAGAATGAACCAGGAGGATAGGTCAATATTCTGGGAGGTCATAGTATCGGCCATTCTAAGCAAAAAATTGTATACGTAAATGTGTCCTATTCTGAGATAGAGCTGTTTCACTGCGCTGTACACTGCACAGAAGAGCAACACGCCATATCCTCACACGAGCTGCAAAGTGTATTGATGCTGACGGTGGAACTTTCTAAAATATATTACACTGGGTAAACTGTACCAACTTTGTCACTTGAACAAGAAGTTCCGATATTAGAAATACTAAGTAACATCTCTTTCTTGTCAACAATTTTTGAGCTGTACAGTGAAATAGGTCCAATTCGGAAACCGTTCGGAATGGGACACATGTACGTACATATATCTTTTGCTTAGAACGACCGATACTATAACCTCCTTGGACACTCTGTAGAGAGACTAGCATTAATGTCAATTAATAAAGGTCAGCTTGTACATAGGACTATCGACAATTTGTGGGTCACATTTCATATATGTTGTATTTGTGGTTGCTGAGGAAAATTAATCTAAATATGATGAAATTAACACTGTGAATAGCATAATAGCATATATTTCAATGACTTCCTTCTGTGCGTAAATTTCTTTAGTACAGATTTCCAATAGGTTACATTTTGCCAATATAATCTCAACATTTTTGCGCCTCCCAAAATTGTTGTAATTCAAACATATAATAATTATTTGCAAAGGGGTAGAAAGTATAATAATATTAAAATATATCACAAAAAAGAGTGTGTGAAAGTGTAGATAAAATTGAACTGGTCCAGTATAAGTTGAATTCGGAATGGTTCTATTTATTTAAATTTACCGCGCCCTAAATAAATTAAACAAACAAAAAGATCAATAAAATGCACTCAGTTACGCCACAGCTGTTCCTTCCGAATCAGTGGATGGTTCAGTATACTAATCTGAGGCTGCAGAGCTTTTGTTTTTCGGTAGTCTCCACTGGCTGGTTGATGAGCGCAGTGTGAAGTGAACCCCCCTCCCCCCTCTCACACTCTTACAGCTAGCAACTGTTTTGTGTCGGGTACGTCTGGGTAACTTTGATACTCATATATTTGTCTTTAAAGTATACAGAGTGTCTTCGAAACCAGTTAACCTAAAATATTCTCTTGTATTAATGAGAATGAGCAGATTAGAGCCTGCCGGTCAGTTTATGGAACGGTGTCACGGCGCTGTGAGTTGTGCATTAAACATGGAGGGTTTCATTTCCAACAATGTTTCTACACTCAGTAACTAATGAAGATATTTCTAAAGTATTTTAGTGTAAATTTTGCTAACAAATTGACTAAAATTGGGGGCATAATTTCTTTTGCGACGCAATATAAATCGAGATTACATACTGCGACGTGTAGGGGGTACGCGTGACGAAAATAACGGGCTCTAGTTCGGATTACTGGATTTATTAGCACCTTGGTTACCATTTCTCTCAATCACATTTCAATACATCGCTATCACTGTTCCTGCACACACACTGGTCCTCTCCTGGTACCACAAACTAACGGTTGAAATCACACCAAATATTACACACGAATGAATCCTTCTAATCACACACCAAATCTTCACAGACCCCACGACGAACTCAGAACTCAGAACTCTATCACTCACTGTCACAGTCACTTCCACTTCTAATTCGCTCTGAACTTAAGTCGAAGTCAAAGTCAGAGTCACATTGTGACTGACGGTCGGTCAGTCAGTCAGTCTTGGTGTCGAGCCCAGTTTAGGGCTCATGACCAGATATTTATTACTGTTTGACAGTTACGGTCTTGTTCTTGTAGAGCGCTCTGTCTGACAAGAGAACCGGTCTGGCTCTGAACTTGTGACTTACAGCTCTCGATATATAGCCGCAGCACGGACCACATAAAGAACACAATTCCGTTGTTGACGCAGATCGCACAGAAAACACGTCACGTGATATCTCGTCAGTCCATTTTTGCGCTGACTGTCGCCTAGCAACGATCTATAAATATTTGTCCTACTGGTGTAACGCACTCAACTGAAGGTTGTTTACAGGCCGTTGCCTAGAAACGCTCTAGCCATCCACGTTACAATATCATCGAGTCATGTGACGAATGGGGAATAACCAATCAGTTGGGAAAGATTTCGGAAGAAATTTTTGTATCTTAACTGAGATGTATCTCGGTATTTGCCCTGGAGGAACTGTGTATGACCATGACATACCTCAGAATAATCTGTGTCCCCGTCAAAATTCGAAGAGAACATCTCCCATATAGAAGTCTTGGTATTTACTGCCCGACCAACCTGCTCTGTGCTACACATATGTTGTACTACTATCGATATAGGATGTCCGATAATAAGCACCAACGAACACCATCACGCGATTTCTTGATGGTGAAGATATAGGTTATGACGTCCCTCGACAAACGTTTCAACCGACGTATGTTCCCGTCGAGAACGCGATTGGGTTGAATGCATTATGGCAACACTTTTGGTGCCCCCTACAACCGGGCTTTCAGAGAAAATTATGCGTCTGCCGGAATTTTGTCAAAGGATATCTTTGTCTTATTTTCATTAAGGAATCGCATAGGGGAATCCTTGCCGATCATAGTGGCCGTCCGGTCTAAGGGATGAATAGTCTTCGCCTGCTTGAACACTAGGATCGTGGGTTCGCATCCCACTCGAGGCATGGATGCCTGTGTGTTGTTCTATATTTGTGTTTTTTCGTGTGTCGGTTGCGGCCACGCGACAGGCTGATACTCTTTCAAAGGGGTCCTACCTAAGCCACGCCATAGCTCAAGCGGTTAGTTGCTGGCTTCCCACTGCGGCGGCCCGGGTTCGATCCCGGGTCTAATCAAGTGGGATTTGTGGTGGACAAAGTGGCACTGAAGCAGGTTTTCTCCCAGTACTTCTGTTTCACCTGCCAATCTTCAGTCCACCAATTGCTCCACAATCACCCTCATTTATAATCTGGGGCTGGTACAATAGGCCAGAAGTGGCCGCAGTACAAGGGACTTAGTCCCACCCCACTAACAATAAACAAGGCCTTAGTAATACAAGAATGCGTTAATTTTCCTGCCCTTTCATTGATCTCACTATTTTAAGTAATGTACATAAATATTTCACGCATTCGTATTACAATTTTCTATAAAATTATCTATAATTAACCGATATTTCACTCGGCGCTACTGATGATAAGAAATTAAATAAGTCATAGAAACATAAAATAATTCGGAAGAGCCTCGATTTGCCTTTGGATGGAAATATTTTTTGCATTTACGCATTTTTTAATACGATTAAAATTTGGCTTGGAGTGACGTGCGCAAGAGCTGGGGTGGGGGGTGGGGGGTTGTTGTGGACGAGGCTTGGCGGAGGATGCCGAATAGATCGGGCTCTGCTGAAGCGACCTCATCGCCCTCATACGCTTCCTCCCTCTCGTCTAGAAGTGGATGACAGATGTGTTTCGCCCTGGGGGTGAAATGAGATCGTAAGTTTATTCCACAGTCAGGACGGGTTTGAACGTAGGTAAGTTTTTTAAGTTTCTTAAGAAGCTTAAGTTAAATATTACTTGATCTGAAAAGTAACATTGCTTAATGTTTTTTGTCATCCGCGAAAGATTTGTCTCGTCTTCTATTATCCACTTTTTACTATGAAAAACGGAGCGCTGAGACCAAAAGCCAATTGTTTTGAATTTCTCCACGTTCCTCGGGAACATTTTTCATTTTATGCATTCTACTTATTCCTTTGTTTTTATTATTGAAAGTTTTCTCCTGCATTTGTTTAGTTTTAGTCACGCCCTAACTAACAACAAAATCTTGCATGTTCCTTTGAAAAACCCATAGTTGAAGGGCCTCTAGGTTTGTTGATAAACGCAGGCGGATATAGCGTTTCAGATTTTGTCAGATCTGTACCTGGAAACACAGAGCTTTATTTCTTATTTATATTTTTGGTTCCTCATATGAAATACAGGTACAGTTGTGAATCTAAAATGTGTTAAGAAAGAACGACTTGGGAGATAAAGCCATAGAGGGGAAGATTGTATTAAAGTGTATCAAGAACTCTTTAATTCGTCAGGCCAAGAATTAATTAATAAACCGACTTCAATGAAAGTGATAATTAGTTAACTAACAATTTCTCAATCCTTCAAGTCACGTGGTAGGGTTATTCCGGATTCTCTAAAAAGGAGATGATGAATTGGAGTGATTCGAAATACAGAAATAATAATTTATTCAGGCATCTTCTGGGATTACGAGCCATATATTTTGAAATTCGGCATGTTTATGGTCCATGTTATAGTTTTATATTTTATTGAGACTCCTCCGCGTTGAGCATTTTTATATACATCTGATTAAATTTAATATTTTCTCTTACTGTCTATATTTGATTTCATTGTGGTATGCTCACGGTACGCTGAGAGCAGGTAAGTCGGAAATTCCGTCTATTTCAACATTTTTTGACATTGTTATCGTGTAGAAGAATAAAAAAAAAAAGCACGGATTTGAAATCGACTTCTTTTCGCATTCTTCACTAGTAAGTAAATTTTGTCTGTCCGTCTAACGTATGTAATCAACGTAACTGCTTTACGGATTTCTATGAAATTTGGTGCTGTCATTCTGCAATGGAAGTATGCTAAGGGAATGCGATTTTTCTTCATGTTGCCCCAACATAACCCCTGCTTCATTCTGTACATGATTTTCAAATCAAATGTTACCGCTTTAAAAAGGGCTTTTACAAAAGAAAAATGAAACACAACATATAGATCTGTTGCGGTCTAAATCTTCTATTTAAATATATTTAGGTTGCTGAATATTTAGCTCACTAAAAAGCAAAAGAAGTCTGGCCCTGTGTAGTGACATGTGTGAATATCTTTGGGAACACAGAGATACTGGGTTTTCGGACTTTGTCCAACGCCCGGATTCCAAATAACTAAGAAGAAACGCAACGTTTCGGGAACTGGATCCAGTGATTGAGGCTAGCAATTTCTAAGGAACCCAACAGAGTAGGCGTCTTCCCTCACCTGAGGACGGAAACAGATCCCGTTTCCGAAACGTTGTGTTTTTTCTAAGTTATTTAGAATCCGGACGATGGACAAAGTCCGAAAACCCTGTATCTCTGCGTGTTATACACCAACGTCAGAACCCTACAGTATCTATCTTTGGGAACACTTCGTTATATCCTAAAAAGTAAAAGTAAATTTGAATAAATATGCATCAAGATCATTGAGGTATGCCAAACAGGAGGAATTTATTATAGAATGACTTGACAACACCGTCCAGTGTGACTCATTATATGTTTATATAGTGCCTTTAAATGTTTCGGTCAGTTGTGATCATCTTCAGAAGACAATAACAACATACTAAGGAAGTACTATTGCATGCATTTAGTATATAAACTTACAGTTTTGTATAAAGATTTTTAATTAACCTGAAATGTGCTTAAATTAAAATAAATTATTAATGTTCTTAATATTAAATATCTTGAGCCGCTGAGGTTTGTGTCTCCGTGCTTCTTCTGTGAAAACGGATGGGGTATTATTTGCCGTCTTCTGATTTTCGTGAAGCGTTGTTTTCCCCCCTTTTTATATGATTAGTTAAGGGCCTGTGTTATTGTTGTTGTTGTCGTCTCTCTTTTCGTACCGTAATGAGGCGGATGTTCTTCTGAGTGTAGAGTGTCTACATCGACGTAATTCAACTGGTGCCTCTGCATATGTCTCGGTCTCTGTGGCACTGTATGCCTGTTCCTATCTTCGCGTCTTCCTTCACTGTGACCCATTTGTGTATTCATATTCCCCATGTTATTCATTAGTATAAGGGGGAATAATATTGGGACGGGTCTTACTGAAATAGGCTGCAGAGATGGGAAATTAATATCCGGGGTAACTAAGTTGGCACAGCGACTAGCCACCGCCTTGACGGCCGGGGTTTGATACACGACGGGAGCAAGAGTTTTTCTCTTCTCCGTAACATCCAGACCTTCTCTGGAGCCCGCCCAGACTCCTATCGAATTTCTGCTGGAGGTACTTTCCCCTGAGGTCAAGCGGCCCGGCTTCCGATCAGTGCAGAAGTCAATAATGATGGAGCTACACCTCCACTCCCCCATACTCGGCATGGTGCTTAGCAAACTAAAACCGGAGACAATTTTGCTATTTGCTTTAGATTAACCCTCTCTTCTATGTACCAATTTTAGGACTTTCAATAGTCTCCCTCTCCAGTAGTCTTTGTGGCGTGCCATATTTTGTAAACCGCCGACTTAACGGAGCTGTTTCCACGCAGCCACCAGCCAATGGTTCACCAAGACGCTCCACTAACGCTGGTGGAAAATGAGCCTTAGGATTTTATGAAGTTGAATGTGCCAACTCTTCATGTACAAATACTAACCGGGTCGGTGTGTGTAATACAGCTTTACGTGTTTACACGCGTGCTGTGGGTAGTCTATATCTCGCGGCGACTGGCTTGTGAGCTTCGATACTGTCGATCAGTCTGAACCACAAGCTCGCAGAAAACCCGCCCCAGTGCCACTTTGTCCACCACAGATCCCACTCGACCAGACCCGGGATCGAACCCGGGCCGCCGCGGTGGAAAGCCAGCGACTAACCGCTTGAGCTATGGCGCGGTCCAGGCACGAGACTAAGTTGGACATTTGTAACACACCTGGATGTCATTATGTGCACTAGTCACTGCGGGTTTCCGTGATATAGCGAAATATCTTCTTTATATGTCGGAAATCTTGAATAAAGTGTCATTACGTGCTTATAAACTGCGTATTACTTTCCACAAGCATGTTTAATAAACTTAATAAAATTCTGTCACCTGGAATATAACATCATGTAGTCCGTTGAAAGTGACAAGCAATAATCCAATATGAAGCGTGTAGCAAGTAGAGCCTTCTTGCTTGCCACACTCTTCAACTCTGAAGATGGATGCTACTTATTTGCTCGAAACATAGGTCGATTTTCATCAGTCTACATGGTACTGAATTCCTGGAGAGACAGGTCTCCATAACCACGGCTGTGAGAGCTTCAAGGGTTGGGTTTTCTGCAGCTCGGTCAGCCATGCACTGGCTTCACACCGCTCAGGATAGAGCCTACGTCCACGTGCCAGCATGAGAGCGTGGCGCAAGAATGGGATATGGAACAGTTTTTGTTTCAGAATTTAACAATATATCTGGATAGTCATTGCAACATTGTTCCTCGTTCATATATTGGTTCTCTTAATTATTCGAAAGCCCTGACCAGGAAGCACATTGTCACATCCTTGGTGTTTTAAGTCTGCGGCGTTTCTTCTCTCACCTGGAACCTGGCTGGTTACAGAATAGGGAAATTGGTTTTGTGTATAAGGCACACGGGATACCGGGTCGCCATACTGACTGGCTATGGACTTGGAAGGCTCCGGTTCGATTTCAAGCGGAAGCAGATGCTTTTTATGTTGAATTTGAGGTTATGATTGCTGTGACTTTGAAGAGTACAGTCTTCGGGGTTGTAAGGCAGTGTAGTTGCGACAGATTCCGACCGTTCGGAGGGATATACCTGCTACATCGTCAGGGAGGAAGTGGAAGATAAGCAAAAAGAAAAAAAAGTTGAAGCAGGCGTAAGCTGAACTCAGTTTCTCATCTGCTTCTTGGAAAAATTTAATAGAACTGCCCCCAACTTTGTTTCAATGTCGTAGTTTACTTTAAATAAATTATTTATGAATGATGTCAGTGAGAATTTTGAAGTTTTCTCAGATTCGCATTTGTTCCTTTTGATAGTAACTCAAGCTGCACTGCTTTCACTGGCAAGTTTATTTCTAAAATAAGGTTTCACATAACTCACCGTAGAAGAGAGGCGCCCACAAACATATGTTAATAACACTGTTAAGAACGTCACGGTATATTTTTCCAAGTACAAGGTAATGTTCCAGGCTTTAGTCAATTCATTTTCAGATTTAACTTTTGTTTTGAGGGAACAATAGTTAAAGCTTAAGTTAAATTCCTTCATCATGCTTGCTTAGTTACCAAACTTTTCACACTAAATCCAATTAATTTCATTCTAAAGTAAGTTAAGTCAATCCAGTCAAACATTTCGTGTTTCAGGTTTTCCAATTTTACAGCATCAGGATGTACTTCAAAATTTCATTGTTTCCTCAAGATGCTTCAAGTCTAACAATCTTGAAGGAGAACTTTCTTGCACTCTGCTAATGATAGGGCATTCAATCAAAGAGAATAAGCTTAGAGTACTGCCATTGAAGTTACTTTGGTATATTCTGAACTTCTCAAATGCTGTAATGGCATTGAACATAACATCTGCTGGCGTCCATAATCCACGCAGTTAGACATTCGCTTCATTTAAGCGAGTTGGCAGGACAACGAAGGTTATTACACAGGAGTGATATTACTTATCGTATAACCGTGGATGGCCTTACATTTTTCTTTCGTAAGGTGTTTTATTTCATCCACAAACTAGACTAATCTGTGAAGCACATACCCACAGCTGTGCCAACCAACACAGCTGTACACGAACAGAACATCAGACACAGAAACTTTCATTA